TTTTAGTGATATATATATATATAAATTATATTTTTATTTTGAACCGTACAAAAAGATTAACCTAAAATATGAATTTATTTACAAGAAAACTATAGTAATTAAACATAAGTAACATAGATTACTTATTTATTAAAATTTAGGTAATTTCATAAATAATAGTGTATATTTGTAAACTATTTTTACCGTTTAATTGTTTTTCCCATTTGCTTTCATAACATCAAAAATTCTATTTGGCATAGAGAAAACCAATTTTTGTAAAAGCTTTCGTTTTCAATTAAACTAGCTTCTTTTTATTGCTTTTAGCAACTCAGAAATATTAGAAAACTGTCCTCTTTTACTATAAACTTCTTGAGTTATAATCCCCCCACAATTTTCAATTGGATTTAGGTTAGGTGACCGTGCTGACTATTTCATAATAACAACATTTTTGTCTTTAAACGAATTTTTTGTAGACTTAAAGACAAATATGCGCGTGTTGTACTGTTGAAATATCCAGAAGTCTTCTAATTAATTCAGTAATAGGAAAGAGACTATTTTCTAAAGTAGTTTAGAAATATTCTAAATATTTATTGTTTAGAAATATATATTAATAATAAAAAATTCATGTACTGTACTTAAAAACATTAAACTAACAGTGCCATTATATCGAAATACTTTCATACCATAAGTGATCCAAGTTGACAACTATAGAATAATATTGGTTCCTTTCTAATATCATTGCAACAGTAATTCTAGCCGTTAGGGCCATTCAAATTTCACTTTTTTTCATCAATAAAACTGATTGAAAGTCATTCATATTTCTTAGATACATATTCCTTTGCCATTCTAATTTTGCATAACAGTATTCAGATGTAGAAGAGATTTGCAGTATATTTTTCTAGCACAAATTTTAAGTTTGCTTTTAACCTTCTGTGAACTGTCTTTGGATTTTTTACATCCAGATTCTTTCAAAATTGTCGAATTGATAAATTTTGAGAAGCTGCAATTCTTAAAAAGTATTAAGAATTGTCATTGTATCTAAACTTTCGAGACAAACCTTACCTACTTTATTCTATATAAATTACTTTTCGCATTATTTTTTTAAATAAATAAGCATTATTTAATTGTTTTTATCATTGTATTTATGTTCTGTTATATGTTTAATTTCTTTAATTAGTGAAATGATTAATATATTGATTAAAAAAGATCAACATTTTACATTGCGTTACAATCGCTCGCTTTATAATTGATTTTAGATAGAAAAATTTCTATTATAATTGTATGAAATTTCATATGTAAATCCCTCATTACAGTTGGCTTAGTATTAAGTACTAGTACTCAGTACTTAATACTAAGAACTGTTTTTCAGAAACTTAATCTCAATTTACATCCCAGCTGATTTTCGCGTAACAACTATGGCACCAATCGCGATGAAAGCAAGCTTTTATGGTAATTGGTGCCGATTTAGCTTGTCTTTTAGAATGCTCGCTGCTGATCCTAAGAATGTGTCTAAAGTTCGAGTCGTTATTTGCACTGTTATTAGGTCATCACTTTTTACTATTCTTTCTGCAGCATGGGTATTTTCTCCAAAAAATAAACTTCCACTGCGACTGTCATCTTTGATGCTTTCTCGACCCTCATTAAAACAATTAATTTATTCATAAAGAGTGGTTTTCTTCGGTGAGTTGTCTCTACTTATAAATATCTGTGATAGCCTTAATCTCAGGTTTTTCCAATCCAATTTTACTAACAAGTAAGAATTTAATGTTAGCGCACACTTCAAATTTACCGAATCCATGTTCTCAGATCCAAGGGTAATTTCAAACTGATGTAACATTACGCGTAAGTATCGCGCAGTTCTGTTGGGAATACCTGATAAAAAAATGTTTCAATAACTTTCCGCTCGCATCAATTAATTATAAATATCCGTATAGCATTATGTTCACAAATAATAACCATTTTCCGGGAATTTTCTGAACGTCCCTTGTATAGGCTACACATATATTTATATAACAGACGTGTAAAGAACCGTTCCATTTCCCATAGCAGTGTTGTAAATTATGATTAAGCCCCTGTACACATATAAGATATTGATAAGATTCAGAGATGAAATATTTACTAATATTTTAGGAATTGGAATCATGGAAATTTAAGTTGTTCGGATTTGAATCTGATCTGAACTTACATATATATAATTTATCATATGTTGAGACATTGTTTTGTATTTCTCATTCTCGTTATCTGAAAATTGGAGATCAGGTGCTATCATAATAGGCAAAATTAAGAATGACTACGTGGCCTAAATGTACTGGAAGCACGCGAGATAAATTCAACAAAAATCCTGAATTATACATATTTATTAATTTGTGCTTATTTATTAACTGTTCAACAATGTGAACATTAATAGAATATAAAACAAACCTTAATATTTGCATTGTCAGCCAACGTTTGAAATCTTCCAAGTGTGGCTCTTCCATCGTTATCGGAGCTATGCAAAAATATAACACAATTATACTTGAAAAACTTCAACAATTCTATCCAAACATCCGCTTGATGAGAATATGGAGGAACAGTACGTAAAAATGAAGCATGAAGATTCTGTAAAACACATATACATATTCTTATTATATGTAATAAAAATATGGAATATTATTATAATATATGAAGCTATATTTTTTACTTTATCAGACAACGAACTATCTCTTGAACTGATTCCAATGACAGGTATATTATAAAACCCGCACGTATACGATACAGAAGCTGGTGAGAGTTCTTCTGAAACCGGACTTCCAATTACTACGGCATAAACCTAAATATAAACACGAAATACAAATATTTATGACATTAAAATATTATATTATAAAAAAACAGTAAGTTGAAACATTAAAAAAATTATTTACAAACTATTGATAGAAATGAGATGATAAGAAAGAAAACGTGAATGAAAAGAAATATAATATATATAATAGAAGAAAAGAGGACGTTATTTGGACATGTCAGGAGGATACACGTAGAACAATCTCGGATTGTGATGGACTGGAAATTGCCAGGAAAAGGAAAAAAGCAGATCAAGGAAGGCTTGAAATGATGCGAAGAAAAACATGAAGGAAAAGAGGTTATGAGAGAGGAGGATATTATGGAGAGAAAGAAAGGGAAAAGATGGGTCGACTTAATCGCCCACAAAAAAGAGGAAAACCTCTGTCTAGTAGAAATGAGATAATAGAATTTAAAAACTGCAGACAGGAGAGACATTTTGCATGTTCGTCATACACATGCAAAACAGTATAGTCCAAAGCAATGACTTAATATTCAAATATCGATCTAAGTAACATATTGCAATTATTGATTTTACGATTTAAACAACTTTAGGTTCTGATTTTAGTGATATTAATACAGTATTATATGAATTTATTAAATAGGACTTCATAGAAAGTTTTATACTATAATTTTTATAGTTTGTAAAGTCTATCTTACAAATTTACAAAAATGATTGCATATTAAAACCATTAACATAATTAATTAATTACCTGTTTCGAAATAAGTTCGTCACAAACACATTGCGCGATCCTAATGGGATTTGGCATCATATAGACAGTGCATCCATTTACAGTTATAAAATCAGGAAGAATTTTTTCCGATTGAATGTTAGCAATTGCAGTAAGAAAATTAACAATATTCGGGCCCATTTCTAACACGGCGCCAATATTAAAATAATTAGGATTTTGATTATCCACACCAAGAACTACATTGTTCTTTAGATTATGATGCAATAAAAGGGTTAAAACGGTAACTAAAATCTGCATGCTTCTTAGAAAAACAAAGGATTTTCTTTCTTTGTGCAATTTCATTATTGATATATTCCGAAGAGCTGGAAAAAAAGATANTATGTAATAAAAATATGGAATATTATTATAATATATGAAGCTATATTTTTTACTTTATCAGACAACGAACTATCTCTTGAACTGATTCCAATGACAGGTATATTATAAAATCCGCACGTATACGATACAGAAGCTGGTGAGAGTTCTTCTGAAACCGGACTTCCAATTACTACGGCATAAACCTAAATATAAACACGAAATACAAATATTTATGACATTAAAATATTATATTATAAAAAAACAGTAAGTTGAAACATTAAAAAAATTATTTACAAACTATTGATAGAAATGAGATGATAAGAAAGAAAACGTGAATGAAAAGAAATATAATATATATAATAGAAGAAAAGAGGACGTTATTTGGACATGTCAGGAGGATACACGTAGAACAATCTCGGATTGTGATGGACTGGAAATTGCCAGGAAAAGGAAAAAAGCAGATCAAGGAAGGCTTGAAATGATGCGAAGAAAAACATGAAGGAAAAGAGGTTATGAGAGAGGAGGATATTATGGAGAGAAAGAAAGGGAAAAGATGGGTCGACTTAATCGCCCACAAAAAAGAGGAAAACCTCTGTCTAGTAGAAATGAGATAATAGAATTTAAAAACTGCAGACAGGAGAGACATTTTGCATGTTCGTCATACACATGCAAAACAGTATAGTCCAAAGCAATGACTTAATATTCAAATATCGATCTAAGTAACATATTGCAATTATTGATTTTACGATTTAAACAACTTTAGGTTCTGATTTTAGTGATATTAATACAGTATTATATGAATTTATTAAATAGGACTTCATAGAAAGTTTTATACTATAATTTTTATAGTTTGTAAAGTCTATCTTACAAATTTACAAAAATGATTGCATATTAAAACCATTAACATAATTAATTAATTACCTGTTTCGAAATAAGTTCGTCACAAACACATTGCGCGATCCTAATGGGATTTGGCATCATATAGACAGTGCATCCATTTACAGTTATAAAATCAGGAAGAATTTTTTCCGATTGAATGTTAGCAATTGCAGTAAGAAAATTAACAATATTCGGGCCCATTTCTAACACGGCGCCAATATTAAAATAATTAGGATTTTGATTATCCACACCAAGAACTACATTGTTCTTTAGATTATGATGCAATAAAAGGGTTAAAACGGTAACTAAAATCTGCATGCTTCTTAGAAAAACAAAGGATTTTCTTTCTTTGTGCAATTTCATTATTGATATATTCCGAAGAGCTGGAAAAAAAGATATAAAAAAGATATATTATATGTAATTTTTATTTTATAAATGTATTTTAAAAAATGTAAATTATTGAATTTAATTTAAATCAAATCGGATTATCTTCTAGTATAAAAATATAAGTACAATTTGGAGGAATTGGGGCAAGATGACGAATTAGGAAAATTGAAAAATATCTTAACCTTGTTTGTTCATAAATTCATATTCTGTATATTAGTTCATAAATTCATATTGATTATTCTATAAATATTTATAAATATTGGGGAGTGATTTATTGATCAACAATAAATTTTCTATGTAGATTCAAATCAATCAGCTAGTCTTCAACTTATTTTTTGAAAAGAAAATCTATCTTCAATAATATAAATCATCCATTTATAAATTTATAAACGATCAATTTATCAATGTAAACTTTTTAATAAAATATTTATATATTTAAAATTTATATATTTTATTTTTTTTAATTAGAAATATTAGCAAATAATAAAAGTTTTGGTTAAATAAACAATAAATTTAATCTTATTGATATTAACATTTTTTAAATAATTTAAATATTGAATTAATATAATATTTCTTATTCTATTTTTTGAATCTATTCAAGTAGCAAGTCCAAATAAATAATTTCTATTCATTTGAATTTGTTAGGAGTGCTTTTAAACTAACAAGTAAGTCAATATATAAGAGCGCTCTTGGGATATTCCAATATTTGAGTGTTATTGACCTTCAGGTAAATATATTGTAGTAAGAAATATTCAACTTATTACTAAGTAAATAAGTAATTGTTTTGATATTAAGCAGAATTTGATCCATTTACAAGATATCAGCTTTAACAAGAATCAATAGCTAAAAAGTTTGCTCTATGGATATATCAATATTTGAGTATTGTTGATGAATAAGTGTACTATAATAAAAAACATTGAACTTATATTAATAAGAAAATAAGCAATTACGTTGATGTTAAGTAGAATTTAATCTATTTGTAATGTATTGCTATGAAGATAAACAATCTTCATATTTTTTATGGTAATACAGTAAAGTTTATTATTATAATTAATTATAAAAATATTTTTTATAATCTTTATTAATATATATTCGAAGTTATTTATTTTTGGAGGTGTTTATAAGGGAACCACAATGTATATCAGCCGTGCAACAACACTATTCTTGTTAACTGTGGATCGATTTTTTCTGTCACCTAGTAAAATATTTTGTAGGAAGAATGACTTGTCTTAGATAAGGTAGAAAATGACAAAAAATATCCTAAAAGAGTATTATATTATAAAAATAAATGGAAAAACACATTTGCATTTCCCTTTTAAAAATATAAATATTCAGTTAAATGCAATCATAGAATATTCAGAATATAAAAAAAAACTGGTTAGTCTATAAAAAATAAATTATATTTTTCTATAAAAATTCAAATATTTAAAATTTTTAAAATGGAATTATTTGCTATTTTATTAATTAATTTATTAATAAATATATTAATATACTAACCTTAGTTAGATATTACTTTCTGGATCAGCCATGACAACATTATTATTTTTTTTTTTAGGTCATTGACCATCTAATAACATAATGCCATCTGTCGTAAAGGATAAAAATTAATTTTATAACGTCTTAAACACTTACAAAAATAATAAAATTTTAAAAAATTTATTAAATTATATCATTTAAAATATGTATTTATATAAATAAATATTCATAAATTTGTTCATATTTTATTTTATAAATAACTTTTTTATAATTATTCTAATATATTAGACGTTTAAGGTAATTTTAGACATTATAATTGGAAAAAATCCATAGATTTATACTGTAGGATTATTTCAATGTATAAATATACAAAATCCCAATTTACTGTATCCTCATATAATGTTTTTTTTGCATATCTGTATACCTACATTATGTCACTGGTTACTCAGAATAATGAAGTAAATACATTATTCTGAGTTTCATACTGTATTTAAATGATCTTCAAGCATTTCCTCCCCGTAATTACGCTACATGTTATACTTTGTCGCATTTAAAAACTTTTTCCACTTTCGAGAAAGTTCTTATATAGAATTTTTCATATATTTATGTATATCAAAAACATAATAATCAAATTCAACACAGTTTTTTCGAAAAGTATTTATATAGGGGTTGCTATTTAAATTACAAAAACTGAAAATATAAAAATTTAATTAATTAATACTACTTTATAGAGAAGAATATTTATTACTTTTTATTTATACATTTATTTTTAAAAGAAATTTCTATCAGGCGACATTAAAATGAATTATTTATAATATTTTATCTATGGATATAAAAGCAATATATGTAATATTTAAGCTGTATATCCCAATGGAATAAATCTNAAAAGAAATTTCTATCAGGCGACATTAAAATGAATTATTTATAATATTTTATCTATGGATATAAAAGCAATATATGTAATATTTAAGCTGTATATCTCAATGGAATCATTTGAAAGAAATTCACGTAGATAGTTTCTTATTATATATATCTTAATATTTATTTATAAATATTTAATATTCTTTAATGGTTTAATGTACGTGACGATGCGAGAGCAATCTTAAAAATTCAATTAAAATGCGTTATACCAAAGAAAATAATTACTAAGTAAATAAAATTAAATAATTTATCTATAAATTTATTGACATTACTTGCAAATTTTTATAAAAAATTTACGGATAAAGTTAGTATAATTACTTTGTAGAGTATAAGACGTAAATAAGTTTATTAGTTATAATTAAATATTTTAAAATTATTTTATTCTAATTGAATATATTTTTTGACAAAACGTGATCTATTACATTGATAATATGCAATTTTTATATATGATATTCCTTATAAAACGCACAAGATACTCGAATGGATGAGGTTAAGTAATAGAAATTCAGGGTCTACCTCTTTTCGGATAATGGCTTTATCTCTTGTGATGTCTTTTAAGAAATGTTTTTGTTGTATTTATATATTCTTCATGTCATATCTTTCATTTTTATGATATCAATATTAGAAAACCATTTCTATGGTATTCTATCATTTCCATGGTACATAAATGTGATACTATTCCTATGGAATGGTATATATGTTGTAAAAAAAGATATATACTGGAAAGGATATATACTATGTACCATGATAAAATAATAATATTGGAATGGCATGACCTGCATCATTTCTGACCAAGTCGAAGGATTGATATATGGAGTTACAAGAAAGAATGGTGAAATGTGACAGAATGGGAATAAGTGAAATGGTACTTAGCTCAACTGGAAGAGTTCATGTTACCATGAAATGGAGCACATTCTTATAAATCGATTTTGCTGAAAGTGATATTTTAAAACTGTGGCGCCCAAATTACGGCCCCGGGCCAAATCCAACCCGCGAGCCTATTTTTAAAACTTTATAAACATTATTATAGAGCCATATAAGAGCCATTCTTTATAAACAATAGAAATAAAACCACTTTTAGTATATATGGAATATACAAAATACTTATGGCTCATATACCTAAGACTAATGCGCAATTTGGTCCGCCAATCGAAAAGTTTAGACAGCACTGCTTTAAAGTATAAAGAAGAAATTAATAATTAGACTATCATAAATATTAATTATTTAACTTATTTAATATACAGTATATATGTATACATGTATGGGTTTGTCTGTGTGTATATTTCCAAAAACTGTAATTATAATCTAAATATAATATGTACACCGTATATCTTCAGCAGCGTTAGTAGAGTTTTCCTTGAACATTGCTGATCTTTCAGAAAATTTTTCAAAGAGAATTTATAGATCATAGGTCGAGGTTGTAAATTTTTTTATTAAGAGTTAGAAGTCATACGTCTTATTTTGTATTATTAATATCTTAAGAATAATACCCTTTTTCCAATTTTTATCCTAAATAATGACGATTCTGAACCCCAAAACAAAGATATAAATTTTTAAAAACCTGTTTTGTATGATAATTTGGGCTTAAAACTGTTTAAATCTATTTAAATAATTTTATGTAATCGTTTGTGCGCTATTCGTGTTTAGAATCACCTCATATTTCATAAATATGATGATAACATTTTTAAATAATAAAAAAAATTATTGTTATATAATTGAAGTGCAGATTTTGTGCAAAAATTATAATACAAACTATGAAAAATTTGATAAATCAGTTATAAAATTAAAATATTGTAAATAAAGATGCAATAGTACAAAAATTTTACGATACTGCATCTTTATATTTTTTCAAAATACATTTTTTTAAATAGATATTTATAGAAAATTAGAAAGATTATTGCATCTTCATCTTCATGTTTAACTTTATAGAATAAATAATTAATATTAAATTTCATAGAAAAGCAAATAATTCATTTGAGAATATCGCTTCCTAGGATAATAAATCATTCAAGAAATCCAGAATATAAGTAATTTCTGGAAGATAGCTATTATCCAGAAAATCTTGAATTGTCAATTTTGCTAACACACTTTTGATTCAAATGATTTAGATTTACAATTTAATTTTTTAAAGCAATTTTTTAAATAAACGATGCCTCCGATATATCATCCCAATTTTTTCTAGAAAAGATAGCACGTGTTTATCACTGTTATTCATATCTACAATTTTACCCAATGTCAAATGAAAGTACTGTACATGTTGATACGTCCTGAAATTTTATCCTCATATAATGTTTTTTTTGCATATCTGTATACCTACATTATGTCACTGGTTACTCAGAATAATGAAGTAAATACATTATTCTGAGTTTCATACTGTATTTAAATGATCTTCAAGCATTTCCTCCCCGTAATTACGCTACATGTTATACTTTGTCGCATTTAAAAACTTTTTCCACTTTCGAGAAAGTTCTTATATAGAATTTTTCATATATTTATGTATATCAAAAACATAATAATCAAATTCAACACAGTTTTTTCGAAAAGTATTTATATAGGGGTTGCTATTTAAATTACAAAAACTGAAAATATAAAAATTTAATTAATTAATACTACTTTATAGAGAAGAATATTTATTACTTTTTATTTTTTATACANTCAAGTAATGTACATAAAAGTAGTTTATGCAATAACATAGAATCTGTATAATTTTCTTTTATACAAAATTTGAAATAGATCTTATAACAAAGCTCTTCAAAGGAGACTCTCTTTTTTTTGAAAATTTAATATACATTTAAATGCTTTCAAAATAAATTATTAGTTTATTTGATTCAAAAATTAAGTAGATAAACAATTACGACTGATGACCTAATTCGAAATGTACTGGGTGGAAGTAACATGTACATTCTCTGAACACGTAATTACAGAATTAAAGATTCATTCTAGGAAAACGGCGACATTAGAGAATCTCTCTTAAACAAATAAAAAAAGAGTTAAATACTTGATATATTTTCATCCGCATCACTGGAGAAATCCGCTTCAGTGATGCGGATGAAATTATGTCTTGTAACTTACTCGTTTTCGACTCAGTTTAGACTCTTAGAGAGTTTAACCAGGCTTTTATTTTTATGTTTATAGCTTAATAATTTTATAAGTTTTTATAGCTTGATATACAAGAAGTGTGCCTTAACATATAAACAAATTTACTAATTTTTTTTTTATATGTAAGTTATATTATATTAAGTAATATTTATGATATTACTTATAGGCATAAAAACAAAAAGTAATTACATTATATCAATAGATATAAAAAGTCAAACATATTTATACAACATAATATGATATATACATAACATAACATAATGCAATATATTTATATTATATATAATGTAATATAGGTGTATATTACATTATGGAGGAGAAAGAAGAGAGTGCAATCTTTCTTAAGGAAGAGATTGATACTGGTTGAAAAAGCTGAGGGACAGAAAGGCACCAGGAATAGATGAAATACGAAAACATCTTAAGGCTATGGGGGAAGATGGAACAATAATTCTAACTAATTTTTTAAACAAAATTTTAGAATGATTTTATAAAATTTATCTTTATCCCTCTTCCTAAAACTGCGAGTTCCTTAGACTATGATAAACACAGAACTATTAGCTTGATAAGCCATACCTCAAAGGTTTTAGCTAATATCATACAGCGAAAAATAGAAAACTACATAAATCAGGAACTAGAAGAGTCAATTTGGTTTCCGAAGAGGCAGAGAGACAAGAGAGACCATTACAATACGACTTATAGGAAAAGGATGATTGATCATAATAGAGAGCTATTTGTATGTTTTGTCGACTTCGAGAAAGCAGAATATCTTTGCAGAATCTTTTGTATTTTGCAAAGATTTCTGTTGTTTGAGATTCTGCAAAAATAGGAATTGATAAAATATTACTAAGAATAATCTACAATATCTATAAAAGCGAAAAAGCAATGGTCAGTTTTCAGGGAGAGAATACCAAATGGATTACGATTCAAAAAGGAATAAGACATGGATGTAGTTTGACCTCAACACTTTTTAACTTCTACAGTAAATGGGTGATGAGAGAAGCGTTCGAATATCTAAACGAAGATGTAAAAATTAATAGATATCTTATCATTACATTAGGTATGCTGACGACATCCTCTGCTACGTAACACCGAAAAAGGATTGCAGAAAATTCTAAATAGATTGAAAGAAGTGGAAAAAGCAAGATACCAAATGAAAATAAATGTGAACAAAACGAAAGTTATGATAGTCTCAAGAGAAGAAAACAAAGATATAAAGATTATGTTGGATGGAAAGAAAATAGAAAAAGTAAAAATGTTTGAGTATTTAGAAAGTTGGATAACTAATAATAACAGATGTAATTATGAAATTAAAAACAAAATAAAAAATAAGACTAAAGCTGCTTTTGCACAAATATCCTAAGTATTAAGGGATAGAAATGTATGCAAAAAAATTGAAGCTAAAAATACTTGAAACAATGATTTAGAGTGTGGCTATATAAGAATGCGAGTCATGGACAATAAACCAAGAGGCAGTTAATAAAATAAATTCCTTTGAGATGCGGCCTCTTAGAATTTTATGGAAAGAATTAGTTGGATAGATAGAATAACCAATGAGGAGGTTATGAGTACATTTGGAATAGAAAGAAACTTGAGGGTCAGGATCCAGATAAGAAAAATAGCATATGTTGAGCATATAATGAGATGATCCTCAAGGATACTGATGAAAATTTCAGTTCAAGGAATGGTGGAGGGCAGACGAAAAAAGGGAAGACCTAGGCTAACATGGCAAGACAACATCAAAAAATGGACTGGATCAAGCTTGGGAAAAGCCTACAATCGTGAAGACTGGAGAAGAACTGTCCATCAACTGCAAACCTCTGTAAAAAGGACGCCATGTGAATGAATGAATGAATACATTATAGACATAAAAAATATAAAAAATTACATTAGTAAATGTACATTCGGCTGCATATTTAATAATTTATTGGGATTTAGCATATATTTAACATATTTTAATGTTAAATATATGCTAATTCTAGGACATAGTTAAATCCTTTAAGTGTTTTTGTCTTTATTTTCAGAAGCCATTCATTTGTCCTCAAGATTTATCTTAGAATAAACCAGCTAGCATTCGTGTAGTATCATTAAATAAAAGTAAATTTTATGGTAAAATTATTCTAAACTAATTAGCAAGCAGTCAAGTTTAAGTACATTTTTGTATAAATAAATACTTTAATTATTTAGTAAAAATATAAGTTTGCTCCTTAGTTTAGAGTAAATAACAATAGTAGATATATGTATATATAATGGGAATCTACTGTATATTTAATAATAATAATAATAATAATAAATTAATTAATAAAATTGAAATATATATATACTTTAAGAGAGCTGAATGCAGAGTTCACGTAGTAACTGTATGTAAACAGAACTATGGATCATTTGAAAACGTTCCATTTCTAGAAATCGATGCTATAAATCTATTCCTCCTATTGATTCCATTGTAACGGCCTTTGACCTCTTTACATTTACATTCGTCCAGATTAATTAATTTTCGAATTTACTTAATGTTAAATGGATTCATTAACAAGACTATAAATCTTGTTGGAATGAACGTTGAAATTATCTTCTACATTTAAGTACAGTACAGTATATGCATTATTGAGCACTCTTAAAATAGATTGTAAAATTATTATAAAAACAATTTGTGATATATATATATATTATAATAATAATAATAAATATTGATATATTTAATTCATTTTTGAGCTGAAGAATAAAAACATTATTATATATTTAAGAAAAATATTAAAGTTAAGTAAAAATTCTACTAAAAATGTTTAAGAAATATTAAAAAATGATGAACAATTCATTATGTCCTGTATATCTGTTAAACTCTCAAGCTCTTTCTGAATCATAATTTATCTTTTCTGATATTATTACTACTTTAAAATACTACTTTTCCAATTACAAAAAAGACTTAAGTGTCAAATTGAAAAACGAAATGAATTTAAATATTTTTGAAAAATTCGAATAACTAATGTCTGAATCTAGAAAAGTAACAGTGTATGTTAAAAGTATAGTACATGTTTTTAATAATTAAGTTAATTAAATAAATAAAATTTTATAAATATTATATCGTTTCGAGTGTTAGGAAAAGCAAATAAATGAAATTTTTAACGAGCTTCAACTACATCTTGGTTTATTTTAATACGTTTTAGATTATTTTTCTTAGTTTACTGTATACAGATTTATGTTATTTAATTAAATAATAAAATATTAATTAATATTCTTTCTACAAAATAATAAAAATAAAGTACAATAATTTTGAAAAAAATGAGTTTTTAGAAGAAATCATTTATTCGTCTGCAAAATATATATTAAAAATTTTTAGACAGTCTTACTACTAAAAACTTAACAATTTAGGAAAAAATTATTTTTATTTTTTGGAAGTAGATTATTTTTGTGATTTATTTATGAAAAAAACTTGTAGTACTAAACATTGCAACGATTTCATTCTTCTCCAGTGCATAATCTAGGAAATGAGATATTTTCTTAGACGACGATGATGAAAATAACATGTAATATGAGCGCAATTTTGTTATTTTCTAAAATTCAATTCTAAAAAAAGTACTTTCACGTAATATTTCGTGATGAATTTTATGTATTTATTTTAATATCACAGCAATCACGAAGACGAAGCGATTGACTTATCAATATTTTTCTTATCGTGACTTTAATAACCTGTTTATTTAATATAATTGACAATGATTTTTTAAATATTTTAATTAATAAATTAGAACAGTTTTAAAGAAATTTAAATAATGCACTAACATAACAGTTTGAATGTATTTGAATAAAAAATCATAATTCTTTTTAAATGAAACAAATTTAAAAAGTTAGTAAAGTTTTGTCTATTTCGTTCAACTTTTTAACAGGAGAAACCTGTAAAAATTCAAGAAATTTTAAATAAAAAACGTAAAAAGTCTTTACTTTTTAAATTTTTTATGTGATAATATGGCATTTTTTTAAAATTAATTCTTTATTTTGATAAGCTTGGATAAATAAACTGATTTTTTTTAATATAGTTACCATTCATCACTATTTTTTAGTTTTTAGTGGTATTTTCGGTTAATTTAAAAGTAATCATTTAAAAATTTTAATTATGAAATAAATTTCGAGAGAAAATTATTAAAAATTTGACGAAAATTTGCGACAATAATTATTATATTTTTTCATGCATTTTTCATGTTTTTTTTCAACAAATCTGATTGAAATTGTTGCGAATTGTTCAAAAGTTATAACTTTTTATAAATTACCGGAAAAATTGTAATTTTTACAAATAATCAAAACCTATAGGCCTATTTTTATAAATTATCAAATAATAACAATTTTTTAAAAATAAATCATAGAAAATTTGCGTGTTTTACAAATGATCAAAAGTAGTCTTTTTTTAAAACAGATGATCAATAAAATTCATATTTTCTTATATATTTTTAACAGAAGAAATTTCATATTATATGTTTTAAATATAAAACTTTAAATATTTTTTAATAAAAATATACATTTTTCTGTACTCAAACTTTAACCATTTTAAGTACAAAAATTCATTTTCAATCTTACATTATATTTTTTGTAATATATTTTTGAATTTTTTAAAATACTATTTTCATTTATAATTTTAAAAAATCAATAAAAAAATTATAAAACATTTAAATGTTTTATAAAATTTAGATATAGACGATGATAATGAAAGATACGAATATAGATAAGATGAAGATGATTAATTTACAGCACATTTTATATAGAAATTTATAATAAAAATAGTTATAATAAATAAAAAATGATTTTAAATGCTAAAAAATAAAATTCGAAATCCTAATTCTCCAAAACTATAGAAAACTTTAAGCTATCAATTTGCAATTTTCCTACCCTTCTGCATTCATTCCATATATTAAATATAGTAATTTAAACACTAATTTGTTAAAAATTTAATTGAAAATCGATTTTTTAATTGTAAACTAATTATTACATTAATTTATATATAATCAACTTTTAAATATTCAACATTCCTATCAAACTACATTTCTCTGGAAATTGCGTACCTTACAACATTTAAATATAATGGTTTAAATGTTAATTAATTAACAGTCAAATTTTTTGCATTAATTTTTACCTTAATTTATATAAAAGTCATTCAAAAATATACTAAATTTTTTTTGAACAACATACAGTGTCCTTATTAAATTACGTACAGCATATTAAATTTTTTTTAAAAAATATTATTATTATATTTAATGAAAAATCTTTAAAATATTCATCTGAAATTAGGGAGAAAGGAGCAATTTTTATTTTTTTCCTCATGATAACACAGCTGTTGTAATGCTATCGATTGTTCTGTGATATTGTAAAATGCGCTATGTATATATATTCTGTCATAAACAAACAACAGCCATCTTGTTTATACGTTTGAATATATAAAACGTCACAAATTTCAAGAAATCATTGACAAATAAACAATTCCTTCTATACGAAATTCGTAGAAAATCACTAAAGCATCATCGAAGTGACGACACTTTGACATCTCAACTAATCGCTTAACGATAGTGAAAAAATTAAAGAGAGCATCGATAAAGTCATTTATTTAATTAAATTTCAAATTGTTCATAGCTTAAATGACATAAAAACAATCGAAATTTAATAAAATTTAATTAATTAAACTTACCCTTTAAACGTTTTTCTAAACTGATATTTTTCTAAGAAAACGACTACATCCGATTTACCGCATCCAGGAGCACAGCATCCTTGAGAAAAGTCGTATGTGCTGCCCTCTAAATGCCATCCAGAGAATCATGTTTTCTGAATTTTCACTCTCCCTCTTCCCCTCATCGTTTTCAACCAATCATTTTTTGTTAAAGAAAAATTTATCAGATTTTATATTATTAAAACTTATTAGTTGAAAGTAAAGATAAAGCAAATATTTATTAATAATGAGAAAAATAAATTTTTAAAAATAATTATTTTTTGATGTGAAATCGTTAGGGTTTTTTAAAATATTTTCTTTGAAAGTTGCTTCTTTAATTTTTAATTATATTTTTATATAATTAATATGAATTATATCAATTTACTAATGAATTTTACGTGTTTAAAAATTCGTTAAAAATCTTAATTTTAACTTCTGAATTTTTTTGAAAATACATTAGGACATTTCTTAAGTTTTTGATAAATTTTTCCTTAAAATAATTTTAAAATAATTATTTTAATCATTTAATTAACTTTTAAAATTAATAATTTAAAAAATTTCCGTTAACTGTAGATTATTTAAAAATTTTTAAAATTTGTTTTGATAAAATTAAAATTAAAATTATTATTTTTTGAAGATAATTAAACTTTTAATTTAATTTAATTTTGAACGTTATTACCTCAAACGTGAGTTTAAATTATTGATTTAATCAGTTATTTATAGTCATATTTTGTCAAATAATTAATTAATTTTTCATATAAACAATAAAATATGTTTATCTTAATAAATTTATGCATTTATATCACATAAATAATGCGAAATTTATAAAAAAAATTACGAATTTTTTAATAGCCAAGTCCATTTTTAATATCCTACTCCATATAATGATACAAGCTCTTTATGTGGAGTAGGTAAATTGCGATTTAGAATAATAAACTAAATAATTAAAAAAATAATCTTAAGTATTTAAAATTTTACCTTAAAGAAAGTTCATTAACAAATTTAAATCATTAAAATTATAGTTTTTGAGCTTTAAGAAAATTTAAAGGATTAAAAGATAAGCGATGCTTCTCTAATGAAGAGCTGGAAACGTATTCAAAATCAAAGCTAAGGGCCTTGTTATAGTCCTTAAAATCTGTATAAGGGGCCCTTCTTTCTCTACCTATAATAATTTTTTTTTAAAATTTAAACGTGAGGCCTTAAACTATAACTTGTCTAGCTTATGTGAAAATAACTTGAATTTATGTTGAAACACGTTATAAAGGATTTTAAGTATATTAGAACACGACCTTAAGGATTTAAGTATATTTAAGCAAACAATAATGGTATTTTATATGATTTTCCACACGGAAACGATCGATACTGGATGTGTTTGTTGTATAAAGTCCAAATTTCTGTTTGTGTTGTAACTTCTTTTCGAATTTATAACGTTAAATAATTGATACAATAACAAAAATTTAACAAAATTATTTATTTTAAATCACTTATATGATTGTAATATTGAAGTCAAATTCAGGGAATTAAAAAAACAATTGTTTTTTTATAGGTGTAATGTAAAATTACAATAAAATACACACCATATAATATGTAATTTTTCTCATTTTACATACATTAACTGTAATTGCAGTATGGCAGATAACAATATTTATGTTCTTGTTTGAAATTACATTCAATATCTGATGGTGTTTCTTCATAGTTCACTTCCCTTCTCCTATTTTGTATTCCTGTACCACACGTTACACTACAAGGACCCCATTCATTCCATGTTACATAAACGCAATCTAGAAATTGCAATTTTATAAAAAAAATCAAATAAAAATGAGGAGAACTTAACTTCTTTTTTTGCCTTTAGTATTACCTTGGCAATGCTGCTATTGTGGTAACATGTGGTATGCAAATCATTACACAACAGAAGCTAGGAGGAGATGGAAGAGCAATTACAAGTAACGTCATTGTTTTCTTTATTGAAATTTTTTATTTCAAAAGAAAAGCTAATTTTGAAAATTCTCAAATGCTTTTTCATATTTTTAGGATTTAAATAACTCTGGAATGTAACACATTTGAATTACCATTCAGTTTATTAGGGAAGGCACATGTCTTCACTAAAACAAACAACTTTTACTTCTTACAAAACTTCATTGTAAAAAGGCATATAAAAAAATTAAAATGTAAACAAATGAGTAAAATGTTACAATTTTATGGAAAATTTTGTTTCTGAAAAATAAAAAAAGTGTCTAAATCTAGTTCCAGTCAAATCAAATATATTGAATTGGTCAAGAATAAAAATTTTCTTTTTATTACTCATTAAAATTTTTAAAAAATTTCTTAAAATATATTCTGATAAAATAAACTGATCAAAATCTTTGTCAAAAGCAAATAAAATAAAATAGGCATAAAACAAATGAACAAGATATCTAAAANTTTTTAAATTTAATTTTACAATAATTACGTTTTCAAGACGTAAATTATTTTACAAGTTAGCATGAGCCGGTATACGAAGATTTGATACGTTATTTGGCTTGATTTAAACTTGTTGAAGCCCTAAATTATAGCATTTAGAAGGCCTTTTAACGCATATTAAGAACGTAAAAGCACGAGGTCTTAAATCTGGTTAAAAACACATTTAAAAAATCCAGCCACGAGTTGCTTAACTATCTCGGCAATACTTAAAACTGCATGTGCGGCGCTATCTGATATGGTATTTTATTTTAAAACTTTACATTTTTTAAACTATTATAAAATGGCAAAAAGCTTAATTTTGAGGATAGGGACGGGTTTTATAAAAAAATTGTAAATGCTAATAACGAGTAAAATGTTCATTAAGTCCGACTCTACTCGAAATACGGCACGACCTCCCTTTATCTCCCCACTCCGTAGATATTTAACCACCAAAATTTAATGGCATCGATCTCCCAAATACGCAAACACCCCTGCAAAATTTCAGAAATTTTCGACAAAAACACAGAACTTATTAAGTTTCAAAGGGAATAACAAAATCGTGCCCCACACACTAACATTCATATTTGCAAAAACACCATCGAATTTTTTGCATGTCGACGTTTCAAGGTCCTCTGAGTTCAAAAATGTCTTGGGGGTCATTTTTTGACCGATCGCCATACCTTCCCTCTGTTATGTATAACAGCCAAGAAAGTAAAAATGTATCTTATGAATTTTAAAAGGATTTAGGAACATATTTTTTAACATAAAATGCAAATGTAATGTAATTTATACTAATGCTTCTATTGTTTGAAACGAATGAGTTAATGATATAATCGTATAATACATTACTGTACATCTCCAGTAAAACAGTTACAATATACCCCTTTTAACTGGCAGACAAAAGTTAGCAGAGTGAATTGGAACCAAATTGAAAACTGAGTGATTAAGTATTTTAAAAAATTATATATTCTACTAGCTTAAGTAAAAGTTAGCAGTCAGTCAAACAAATAATAAACAAAATAAATATAGTACTTAATGAAAAATTTTGTTGAATATTAATGCTAATTGAATATTAAAGTTCTAATTGAGTGCTTCAAAAAATTATAATTTTTATACAAAATTAGTAAAATGTAAAACGATTACTCGTATTTTATATAGTATTTATTATGAACAGGGATAAAAAAATCAACGGTACTGGGTTACATTTTATTTCATATGAAATTATATAAAATGTAATTTCAAAATTGTTATACAGTTTGTTTTTCGATTGTTAGTTTCATTTATCCCGTTAAAAATATAAAAGCGATAAGCCATCGTCTATCTCTCTATCTCTCTCTTTCTGTGTGTGTGTAGGGGTTTTGTGAATTCCCTATAACTACTGCTATTTTTCTCCAATCCAAGTGAAATTTTGGTTATATTCATATTCTTTTATTCTTTTTATGTTACAACGGAAAGAATAGAATACTGTACTTAATTTGAGAAAATATTGGTTATTAGCAATGTATATATATATACATTTTAATGTATATATATCCGATCGGAAGTAACGATCTAACGAGCCTGTTATTTAAAATGTATTATCGCGCATCAATTATGTGGCCTAGACTGTTCCGACAGACAATACAGTAGACCCCCTATAACACTGTAGATAATTCCGTGTTATATGAATTCCATGTTGTACGAGTCACTTAGATTTTATAAATACGTGAGCCGTACACGTATTTATAAATTTATTTTATTTTCACTTTTAACTAATAATTTCGAACAAAGCATTTATAATTTATAATTATGAATAGAAAACACAAGTATTGTACCGGTATATTTTAAACCACACTCACTACATTCCAATTCATTTAATGTATAACGAGTTCAACAACGTTGAGAGTATGATAAACAAATGATAAGGCTTGTAACAACGACCCGAAAGTGACAAATCCAGTTGCTGAGACTGGCGCTGTTCGCCGTAGCGGCATAATTTAGAACTAATGTTTACCAGAGAGCTAGATTCTTGTAAGACTCAATTTACGAAGTCAACGTCAGTTTACTTAACGGTATTGGCCAATCAACGTGAACTTCCCATAATTCTTTGAACAAGATGGAGGAACCGCTAATTTCGTGTGTCGAAGAAAGAAACCCTACGAAACTTAATAGATGGTAGAAAATATTTTAAAAAATCCTTCGATGTCTTTTTATTAACCAAAGCATGGAAATCTCCTTGTCTTTTTCTCTCAATATGAATAGCTATAATTCACCTCCGATGTTTTGATATTTTCCTTAAGAAAAGTAATAAATTCAGCTGTCGACGTCGAAGAATTTACATTTTACACTGTATATCCAATTTTAAAAGAGACGAGTCCGATCTATAAGCTCAGAAAGCCACGGACATTGTGCATGCTGTAAGACGAAAACCAATGAACAATGTGAACGCTTTGGCGACGAACAAACAAGACGAAAGACAAGCCGTTGTTATCGTTTAGGATATGTGGTCGTTGTCGTTGGCAGTATAAATGCAGCCTGAGAAAAAAGCATAAAGAGGCAAGAGCAGCGTTCCTCAAACTATGAGTCGCGAAATAATATTACCTTCCGTAGAAATACTTGTAATAATTTTATTACTGTAATATTCTCTAAGAACTATGGACAGTAGATGCATCTGTTAAGTATTGAAAACTTTTAACGACTTTCTTTCTTTTAGCTATCGTCATTTAGTAATAGAGTTAAAGTTATAAAATGTATGTACATGAAATTGATTTCTCGTCTCTATTTTGAATAACATCAAAATAAATATTTTATCTAAGGTCGTACTCATAAAGTCTTTAAAGGTTGTAACGGTTTTGAAAATATTTCCTTGTTTATTTAAACTTTTAGGTTTAAAAAACCAATAACGGGTGAATTTTGGCACAAATGGATCGATAAATAATTTGTTTTTGTACGCGGAACCATTGCAAACAAATATATTTGGTCGCGCGAGCAAAACGTTTGAGAAATGTTGGGCAAGAGCATCTCAAAATTGCTGAAAGGACACGAAGAGTACGGAATCTTGGAACACTTATTAAAAACCAATTATACCTCTTTAAGGGATGTCTGCAGAAATGATTAATTAGTTCATGAACTGATTAATTGTTATTAATAATAGCATATCGAAAGTGTTCAAATTAAACTAGTGCTAATTTAAAGCTAGATTATTAAAAAAATTACTTACTACATGGAGGCATCTCACATTTTCTTCTTTTAACAAGTTTAGGAGGACACGGTTTTCCACCATTTTTTGCATTTTTTTCAACCATTCTCCTTCTTTCTTGTCGTCCCGTGCCACATGTTCGTGAACACGGACTCCATTCAGTCCACTCTGTTAACTGACAATCAACGGCACCCAGTTCTAGATCTAATGTATTTATTTGCAACATTTAGTTATATATTTCAGAAAAAATTGGCTTTCATATTTTTATCATAATGTTTTATATTAGAAAAATAATGCAATATACAAAATTAACCCAAAAGTTAATTAATTGTGTAGTATGCAAGCGATTCAGCAATTTATGAGCTAATTTTGAACAATGTTTTCAAAATTTCAAATTTTGTAAATAAATTATTTGAGTAAGAGAAAAATTTAGTTTATACAGTAATTAAATGACTTTTGGGTCATCTTGTATTTTAATTCAATTAAAATTGTTTATTAAATTTAAACTCTTTTTTAACAATTAATTTTAAAATACTGTACGAACAAACAAGCACTTACTGTTTCGTAAAGGTGTTTCACATCTTCTATCACAGTCTGAAAAACGTTCGAATCTGTTTCCATTTCCTTGACATCCACCATAAATAAATGTCATGCACATTCTTTTGGTCGAATCATAATACCAACGAGGAAAATGCCCACGGCACGGCCCTGCTTCTTTCGGTTGCATACAAACTAAAATTGATCAATAAAGTAGTTTAATAACTATTTAGATGCAAGATGGTCCAAAAGATATCTACCAAGTTTAGTGCTTTTTTGCAAACGAACGATAAGGTATAATCAATTTTACTGTAAGCAATATCAAGGATTTATGTTATAATATGTTCAATATATTTGCCCTCAATTTTATTCCAAAAATTAACGTTAAACTTTGACGACTATATGTTGGAATTGCAATTCTATACTCGTCTCCTTCTGTCTTTGAATTGGTTTGGTTCACACTAACTTCGAGATATCAAGAAGTCTAAATGATTTATATATGGAGAATATGCAGGCCAGTACTTCACTTTCATGATTTATTTTACAATGAGGATGAACTACAATAGAGTTGTAGTTGAGTGTGAAAAATGATATGTTCTCTCAACTATAACGAATTTTTAAATTTTAGTTTTTCAATTTTTAAATACTGTATTTCAAATCAAAGCCATAAAGCTTGATAGATATCTTTTGGGCTACCACGTACATACTTTGTATATATGTCAGATGTGCTGTAAATTTATTTACCAGCTGTAGACTCGGTATCGTCGCAGTCAATAGCATCACCAGTACATGTGACATTCTGATATAATTCTATATTACATTGGGCGTAAGCGGTAGGATTATGTATCAAACGTGTTCGAATTCTCGTGCCTTCTCCACACGTGGCAGAACACGGGGTCCATTCTGACCAACGCGTCACACCACATTCTTGTGGTGGCTATAAATTATTTTTTAACAAATTACATTCTTTTTCTTGAAAAATTCAATAAAAAAATAATATAATAAAATATGTCAACTTCCATACCGTACAAGTTGGAGTAACTGGGCACATTTCTTGTTCCTTCAGAGGGATAGAACAACCTTCAATGGGAAGTGGATTTTCATATTTTCTGTAGCGAACACGATACACTTTACCACACGTACATTCTGACCAACTTTCCCATTCCGACACTTTACATAGATATGATGGTATTGCTGAATCCCTGCTGTTTGTAAATGAAAATCTTTAATTTGGTGAAAGAGGAAACATCATAAAAACATTCAAACTTCTTACTTATTGCATAATCCTGCGTAACATGTTTGTTTTTCGATTAAACGGCAATCTTTCTGTGGAATAAATCCATTTAAATAATTTCTAGTTCTCTTCTGAACTCCTTTTCCACAAGTCGAACTACATGGACTCCAAGGTGACCACTCGGTGACAGGACACGTTTCCAATGCTTAAAAAAATATATACACATATATATTTGAATTCTTGTGGACTACATTAAAATTTAGTTTATGATTCAAAATATTTATGTTATTACAGTAAAGAAAGGCAGTCTTGAAGATTTCAGAAATATGCTACGTAAAGAGTTTGAGACAGATATAAATTTATATGCTGTTTTATAATAAAATTATAATGTTATGTTTTATAATATAATATTATGTTATGTTTTATAATAAAATTATAATATTATGTTTTATAATAAAAGTATATTTTATTGATTTGATAGTTATTAACAAGTTTTAATCATTGAAACCTGAATTTGACTCTTTGGTATTGTCGATGTGTATTGTATTAATGTACTGTACATACATAATTGTACATTTATTACAATACTAACACAATTATGTAAAAGTATTGTACATAAATACTTTTACATAATTGTATTAGGGCAAGAATAAGAAAATGTTGAAAGTATTTTGTCCGTAACCTGTAAAATATTATAAAAACAAATAAAAGTAATAGCCTATATATTTTTTAAACAGGTGATATACGATCTTTAATTAATTTTTTAAAAAATGTATCCTTTCTACGTAAAAATTCCAGCAACAAGTTACGTAACTTTCCCGGCAAAAAACTTAAAATTGTGTTCTGCACCATCTGCTATGATATTTTATTTTAAAAAAATTTATATTATTAATTATTATAAAATGGCAAAAAGCTTAGGATAGAAATGAATTTTATAAACAATTATAAATGCTAATAACGTGTAAAATCTTCATTAAGTCCGACCCTAGTCGAGATATAATACATGATCTTCCTCTATCTCCCTACCCCCTGGACTTTTAACTATTAAGATTTAATAGCATCAATCCCCATAATATAAAAACCTCTCTGCAAAATTTCAGAAATTTTCGGCATAAAGCACAGACGTTTTTAAGTTTCAAAATGAGTGAACAAAATTATGCCTCATATACTGACATCCATAAATACAGAAAAAATCCCAAACCTTTCTTTGCATTTCTCGACGTTTCAAAGTCCTTAAGTCCAAATATGTTAAACTCCTGGAATCATTTTTTGTCCGATCGCCATACTTTCCTTCTGTTATATTTAAACAGCCTAGAAAGTAAAACCAGAACACAATCTCCTATAATCTTACCAGAAGTGCAGTCTTTCTGAAACAATCGTTGTCGAGTAATAATAATCTTTGCAATAGGATTCAGAACATTATAGAAAGGCGATTCTTGATGAGTTGGATAAGTAGCTTTAATAGGTCGAATTGGCGCTTGAGGAATGGTTTTCGTCTTAGAAGCCTTTAATAAATAAATATATATATATACATTATAAACACGAAACTTATGGAAAATCACAAAGAAAATAATTTTAGATTTTTACATTATAAGTGATTCCTTCAATGATTCCTATATCTATAGGAAAAAGATTTAAAATTCTGCTATGAATCCAAGAACAGTTTTTTAGACATAATTCTAATGCAGGTACTCCTACAACCCAGTCTGGGCTTGGAATTAATTTGCTTAATATGGATAACAAATGATGATCTTTGTCTGTACGAAATATTGTAAAAGTTTTGTCATAGAGTGTAGGAGCGTCGAGACCTTTAACTTTAATGACTGTGCGAATTTTGTCTGACTGTAAAAAATTATTTTCAATTAATTTCACAAATATATATACTTCTGCAAACTTCGAAACAAATAACGAATTTTTCAAATTTTGAGTTTAAAATTATTAATTAAACTCTTACTTGCAATTTTAATTCTGTTTGCAATGTCTCAATCGTACCATCTTCTGCAAATTCAGCAATACCTTGGCTTGCTTTTTGATTATAATCCCATATTCGAAAATCGGCAGAATGAGTAGCGCCCATAATTGTCGAAAAGTTAGTACGGAATCGATCTAAAATTATACCACTATAGAACTTCATTTTAATTTTTTAAAATGTGAAAATTTTATGTTAATGAAGTAAATTTATTATATTACCCGCTGGAAAATCTTTTGGATGGGTATGTTCTGACCATAAACATTCAAAAACAAGTTCATACATGGCTTCTTCGCATGCACAACACTTTTCGAGAATCTCCGGTTGTACATTATTGTCTAGTTCTGTACGTATAATTTATAGATATTAAGAAATAATTATTATTTTAATATATTTTCAAATAAAAATGATTGTTTTATATAACTAATATATTATTATACAAAATAACTTTCCTCCTTGACATAGATTTAACGTTAATCTTCCCTCATCTTGATGCCAAAAATCTAGGATATCCAAAACTGTCGCTCTGAAAAAAAAACCATATTTCGCATTGCTAAGAGAGTTTCTAAATTTAAATTTAAAAATAATATAGTTAAACGCATTTAAAAAATAAATATACAAAGAAAACTTCAGCAGATATGAGATAAAACCTGCAGAAAGAAGTTCAAGCGTATTTGGATTAAAATCAAATGAACCTACTTGAAAACTACACATTCAGAATCAATTCCTGGTGCCACCCACGAAACCTGAATTTGACTTTTTGGTACTGTTGACGTGTACATAATTGTATTAGGGCAAGAATGAGAAAATGTTGAAAGTATTTTGTCTGTAACCTGTAAAATATTGTAAAAACAAATAAAAACCTATATACTTTTTAAACAGCTGAAGGACATATCAGGAATGGCGAACCTAGGGCACGCGTGCCCAAAGTGGCACGTAAGGAGAAATCATCTGGCACGTAACGTATCTTACGATTAAAACACATCCCTTTAATTTTTAAATTATCGTTATTTAGAGTCTATAACTTTGGCACGCATAAACATCTTTAAACAATCTTACTATATGGCACGTGGGCTCAAAAAAGTTTACCATTCCTGACATAGATTATAACAAAAATTAATCTTTGAATGAATTTATTAATAAAATAAATTTATATAACAATCTTCATAGATTGGTTGATTAAAATAGTGATAAATGCACACAATCTTTAAAAATTTCGTTATTTTATCATATTTTTAAATTCATTACAAGAAAACAGTTTAAATTAATTTTAATAACATTTTAATTACACTAATATATAATTAAAATGTGAACTTAATATTGAAAGGATATATCATCAATAAAAATATGTAATTTAATAAGATGAATACAATAGGAATTTAGATGTGAATAAATATTACATAATTGATATTTATAAAAGTTTACTTACGAATATTTTTAATTTTTTATATTTAAATTATTATATTCTTCGAAAATACTTTAAATCAGAACTGTTTTTTCTGGTTAAGGTGTTTTACAATTATGGTATGATATACATACTTTCTTCCCTGGGTAATATGAAAATAATTCTGTGTAGAAAGAGATCACAATGTCTTGTCACTCTATTAAATCTCGAGATAATTGAAATTGTTTTGTTAACAGCTAAGAATGCATAGCATTTGTGATACAAGTAATTATCGCTTAGTAAAGCAGAGTAAGCTATATTTCTATTACGAACATGGAGAGTACATAGATATTTTGATTAATTAAAACTCCTGTCATTTATGAAATTCTCTGAATAATTGATTTAATGGTGTCTATTTAACTAAAAACAATTAAAAGCAATGTTTGCAGTATATATTATTGCTGCTTGCACAATCATCTTGGATAGATACGAAATTAACGAAAGTGACAAGTTATTTTAATTGTGCTGTACTATCCTGGAATTTAACTAATGTTACAATTCTTCAGCAAAATACGGTTAGAGTGCAACAACTTTTATGTTTGTTAATAAAACTTTAGTAGTAATTTTTTTATATTGAAATTCATAATTAACAAAACTTTGGAGTGAGTTATTCTACTGAGAGCTTCTCTTAAGGCAGCAACACTGAAACTGAGTATGCAAATGGAAATACAATAAGTTGACAACATTGCTAATTTCAATTCAAATTGTCAAGTTGCCAATCTATTCATCTAATTTAACGAAGACAGCTTATTTGAAAATTGATTTTAAATTTATAAATAAAGTTTTGCTTGATTTCTAGAAATATAAATGAAAATAACGCACCATATAAATATATTTAAACTTAAATTAATGAATATACCCGAATTGAAAATTCTGAAAATTTTAAAATTATATTGATCTTAAACAATTATGTTTAAAATAATTTCTTTACCTTAAATTTTCCAACATTTTGAGGCTTATTTGAGGCTGATTCAACTACAAGATAAAAAACTGAAAATTTCTTATTTGGAGATTCGTTTTCTAAAATAACTGAAAAAATGAAAAAAAAATAATAGTTTAGTATTCATATCAACTTTTATTCTAAATTTTTTATGAAACTTTATTTCGATCTAAAAATTAAAATTCATCATCATTTATTAAGAATGAAATGAGTCATAATAAAAAGCAACGAGAAATTATTTTAAAAAGCGGGAGATGGTAGCATGAATTTGATTATCTCATTAATGTGTGCAGACTGTACATAGGGTCAGGACCCAGTTTAGAGTTGTGACTCTAAGCTGTAACAGTATAAGGGATCGTTCTTATCCAACAAATAATAATAAATTAAAAAGCCTTAAGCTATTGATTCGTAGCATGAGGCTCTAAGCCAGGGGTGGCCAAAACGTGGCGCATGCGCCAAACTTGGCGCATTGGACGATTACAAGTGGCGCTTCAGTTAGCTCTGAGTAAAATTGCCAGTTTTTTTTAAAATTTTTTTTTTTTTTTAAATTGCCAGTAAAATTTTTTTGCGATTACAAATATTATATAGAAAAATAAATTTTTTATAATCTGTCTTGGCAAGTTCATTTGTTGCACAATTCGTTACAGTCTATTTTGCAGATAAAATGAGTGTTCTCTACATAGTAAATTACAGTATATGCATGTATTGTGAATCTTGCGATCTTTATTTCCGATCAGTTTACAGGCGTGTAAATGGTTGAAAACATTTATTGTGATTAGAGTTATTCCAAGCTGATCTCGTTTTCAGTGCCAATAATTGTGGTGCAGAGTAATCTTCACCAAACGAGACTCTGGCAGCTATAGCACCATCATCAAGCAATCACCCTCTTGTACAGGAGATCATTGTTACTATTGTAAATTGATGCTTCAATAAACTGTCATAAATTAATTAATTCAACTGCGTGATTAAATTATTCCCTTTTCTCCCCTAAGCGAAGCAGATTTATTCTTATCTCTATTTATCAACCCCTAACATTGAACGTAAGACTATATAAAAAGTGTTCGATTTATATGGCGCATCTGAACTCGTCTGTCAGAAAATTGGCGCATTGTATGCAAAAGGTTGGCCACCCCTGCTCTAAGCTATAGTTTATATAGCGTACTGTGTATCCTTCAACGTAGACCAATACCTGGACCTTTAATGAAGGATTGAGAGATATTGTTAGGAGCTTTGATACTTATATTTTCATTTGATAGCATCTTTTGTCATAAAGCACGTACAAACTTCTATTTAGCGCCACTATTTGTTTCCTTCTAAAAGTGACATTAATTAAGAAAGACACTATATCGAGATTTGACTGTAATTAATATGAAGTAAATTGTTAAGGTTGTGAGTATTATTTTGATTAAACTTGTATTATTAAATTATTAAAAATTCTTATTAAAATTACTCAGATTAAATTTTTGTGACATAATACGTAAAAAATTTTCATTAAATTGTTTTTATATATAAAAAACAAAATTTTAAAAATATATAAAAATATAAATTATCATAAAAGTAAATTCCAATTTTTAAAGATAGTTTTTTAACGTAAACATTTTCTTCAGAGAGTGAAATTTTTAGAAACATGAAATAAGATATTGAAGAATCTAACATCTGTTTAGAATATGAATTTTCCCATCATAAAGAAAACTCAAAATATTTATTTGAATTTTTTAAATATAGAATGGAAAAAGTATACAGTTTATTTACAAAATAAAAATAAAATTCTGCTCTACTACAAAAGCATATAATTCAAATATTCTTTGTTCTCTTGTCTTATAATTTATTTAATAAAAATTCTTATTTAATCTATTTAAAATGATTTTTTAATTAAATTTCCGCGATGAATTTTCTTAGAAGTTCTTATACAAATTAAAAATTTGTATAAAAAAGCGTTAAAATATTTTATAAAGTAATAATATTGGTTTCTTTTAATTTAAATAATTTTCTGATAAAAAATTATGTCCTTAAATACAAAAAAGAGAAGTATAAATTAGTGTTATATAAAAATTTAATTATTATTTAAAACACTTTATGTTATATTTTGAGGCCCTGTAGCTAAGGCGTTAGTCGTCTACAGTAAGAATCTCGGGTTTATCAGAATTTTAGATTTCTGAGAATCAGAGCTTGAGTTTGGGTTCTCATACTAAAAGATCCGAGTTCAAATCCGGATTTTCATAATCTTCACAGATAGTTTGAAGAACTACTTCGTAATCCCTGCCTAGCTAATGTAGCTCCTCATCCAGTCCATGATGACCATAGAAAAAAAGTCTTTAATGCTTGAAGAAAGAAAGAGTTTGATTTGGTTTGAAGATATACGACAACGCAACACATGGGCGATCTGCCAAGAATTGGACTCCTCCCGTTGCACTTTGTGTGGGAAATTGGTTCTATTTAGGTGTTAGACACATGAAGACTTCACGTGGCCATTCCGTTGGTCAGGCGCGAACCCACGACCAGTGTTCAGTGGTAGTGTCCTCTCGGTCAAAGGTTGGCCGGAAATAAAGAGTAAAAAAGTTTATCTTAATATTATACAATTCCAAACAATTATGTTATAAAATATCTCAATAGTTTATAAATTATTTTCAATATATGTACGTAGCAAAAATAAAAATTTGAAGACAGAATTGTAAATTCAGAAAAGAATAAAGTAGAATTTTTATTTAATTTATTCAATTCAAAAATTTTGTCTACAAAAAAAAAGATACAGAATGATTCAAAGTATACAGTACATGTATAAATACGGTGTCATTGAACTCGGTGTGAATATTTTAAAGATAGATTCTGGGGGCAAAAATAAGCCTAAAATCGTCTATAAAGATTTTCCAAAATTCACTTCGTTTTCTACATATGGCTTACCAAAAAAAGCTAATTTTCGTATTCTCCGCCAAAATACTAACACTAGAATTGTCAAGTTTTTAAAGTAATTTTGTATGTTTTAATGTTTCTTTTTGTCATAGGATTGAGGTAAGTAAATGTCCAAGAAGGCCTGCTGTAATAAATGTAAAGAAAGCATTTTATCCACTTGATTTAGTTCCATTTAGATCACATTCGTTTTACAATAAAACGAAAATACTTGAAAAGCAAAAGAAGTTTAAAATGGTTACTGTTATAATTTTTTGTCAGGCCAAATCTTGAAAACGAAATAGAATCTTGAAAACCTTTATAGAGGATGTTAAGCTTATTTTTGACCCTAGAAAATGATGGCAAACATTTTTTCCCAAAATTGATTTCGAATTTTATTAACTCCGAATCCCGGATCAAATATTTCGTTTGAATAATTAAAAATAATAAAAACTGCTTACAAATTTCACTTGTTTTTCTTTTTAATCTATATGACAAAAATAACAATAAACTCTATATAAATGTAAATATAATGAAAATTGATTAAAACAGAAACAAAGATTTCATTTAATAGGAATCTGTTATTTATTTGATAATAATTTTTCTGAGTTTCATAATCAATGACCTTTAAGACTTTAATTAGGCCTTTCAGACTAATAAGTTTAGAACCCCGCTTTCATACTACAGTACATGCGCAAAGTTTTCAAATTCATTTGGCTACGGCAACGCGACACGTGGGCGATCTTCTGATAAAAATGCTTCCGGGAGGTCTTTGATGAGAAACTGGGCCATGTTTAGGTGTTACAAATACAAATAAAACCCAGAAAACTCCACGTAACCAGCCCGTTGGCCATGCGCGAACCCTCGAATCAATGTCCAGTGGTTTTATCCACTCGGCACTGGTGGGCTTGAAATCGATCAAATATATTTTTATAATTTATAAAACCTTAATACTTTCTAAATATTTAATGTAGTACTGTGAAATCGTCGCGCGAGTCACAGATTCGCCATCACTGCCCTAGAAACTATCCCTTAAACATTGGCACCGAGTTCAATTACACGCTATTGACTGTTGAATATCTAGGTTTTAGATTTTTTTGAAAAGTAACAATTAGATAGTTTTATTACAACGTATAATTTAGACCAATATATCATATCATTGAATTATGTAACAGCATTTCAAAATTCAAAATGTTCGCCATTGGTGTCCACTGGTCATGTTATTCATAGTGATCTAAATAAGCACAAGATGCAAGATGGGTAGGATAGACAGAATGACCACAGAATAGACATAATGTTTATTCTGTGTTTAATAGTACAAACATTAGATCAAAACGTATATGGTAGTCTACCATTAATTGAGCCGTTTATTTTGAAAATGGGGCAAGTCCAATTTTTGTTATTGTGAGATATTTAAAGGTTTGCACTTCAATAAATTTAAAAATATTGGTAAGTGTTAATAGATATATTTTTAATATTTTGTGGTACCAGATAATGTAAGTTTATAATCCAATAGTGTTTACAGTGCTGACTAAAAAAGTAAGAGTTTCATTATAACTAAATGGACTTGCCTCACTTTCAAAATTAATGAATTATTGTAATCGTTCATTTAATTGGGAATTTTTTCAGTTGCATCAGCCTTTTTTTAATAATAAAAACAAAATACTATTCAAATTTTTATAAATATTTATTCATTTGATAAAAAGTGAAACAAAACAAAGAATATTCTAGTAGAAAATATAACATAACAAAAAAAAATTCAGTTTTATTAAGAATTTCAATGAAATTATACATTTTCAGTTTATACGTAGGTATAATTAAATGAATTTTATTCAGGATTTAACATTTTAAAATATTCATGATGAACGGGAGGTATATATGGTAATAAATCCATCATGTCCTTGTATTTTTCAGATGTAATAGATCTCCTTTTTTCATACAGAAAAGATAACTTTATATTTCCGAAATTACTTGGTCTTCCTCGTTGTGGTGACAAATCGATAATTTTAAATTCAGCATCTCGTTCTATCGAAGTTTTGTAGAACATTTTGTATGGTGCATCCCTTGTAAATCTGATCCAGCATATATTTAACCAATTCACGGTTTCTCCATCGGTATTTTTGTTTCTTTTTAAAACTGCTTTCCCCAGAGGTTGGGTTGAAAAAAAATTTTCGCGTTTCATTTCATGTACTAAAAATTTATTATGTTTTCGACAATTTCGTATTAGTTTATAGTAATCCTGGGGAATATACAAGGAACTGGCTTTCCGGATTGCCATTTCTACCACTCCAAAATCACGATCGTTCAGTAAAAATGAATGTCCTGAAAATAAAAATTTGTGATCAATGATATTTATTTCATTGTCACCAGACTGAACAATTTTCATCCACATTAAGGCCAACTTTATGTTTCTATTTTGGCCAGTGCACATGTCACTATAAGCTATAATGTGTTTTTGGGTTGTCACAGTCTGTAAGTGCTTCAAACAGCAAGATGCTACTTCTTGTGCTCCTCGGGATGCTATAGTTTCATCCCAAACATACATACTAACTTCATCATTATGAAAATTGTGGAAGCTTTGATTCAATACATACATATTCCGCTTATATTTCTTGGTGTTGGAAGTAAACCTATTATTATCGAAACACAAAATTAAGATATACTTTTTGTTATTTATGAAATATTGTACAACCACCGACTTTCAATATCAAAGATAGATAGATAGAAACACCCTAGATTTCAGACATGATGTCAAATGATCACATTGCTTCACCATACAGCAACCGGAGCTAAATTTTGCCATAATATGTGCGGTCAAAAATAATTTCAATCTAAGATGGACTTGCACCACTTTCAAAATAAACATATTTTCAATACTGTTAAGAGCTAAAACTTCCATCTCCCAAATACTAGAATCCGAATTTTTTTTTTACTATAAATTGTTTAAAAATAAAAAGATCATAACAAGTTTTATCTATAACTACCATTATCTCCATTTTTTTCAAAAATGGACTTGCCCCACTTTCAAAATAAACGGCTCAATTAAATGTTTTTCCTGAGATTATGGCAGCTGTATTATACATAAGAAGACGCAGTAAGTAAATCAATGTTTCATTTTAAGCTAATAATAGCTTAAATAAGCTAAAATAATAGTAAAGCATTATTTTTCAACGGGATTGATTTGCACGGGATTTACATACCTTCAATTGCATAAATTAAAACGTACAACAGGTTCTTATTAAGTGAACATTAAATTTGTAATTATCAAAGTAGGTTTACATTTTCTGTGTACCAAATTTGTGAATGGGTATACAAAAACTGTTGTATGAGGGTGTTGTGCTAGTATACTTGTATTTATTCTTGTATCTTACATATTCTCGGATTTAAAATAACTATTAACGTTGGAAAAAACACTAATCAGTTCAAGAAATAATCAAAAATAATATTTATTTATTAAATAAATTCAGAAAATATCAAACTCAAATTATTATTCATTATTCAGATTTTTTGAAATTCTTTGTTACTAAAGATAATTTATATTTTATATTGAATAATATTTTAAAAATAATTCAATCAATAATAGTATTACAACCTTCTAATTACTCTAAAATATTTTAAATTAATTATTTCAGTTCTAATTTTTAAATGCCTTAAAATGAACTATTAAAGCATTTAAAATACCTTAAAATTACCTTAGAAAAGTATTTGAAGACATTTTAAAGATTTTTTTTAAGAATAAAAAGAATATTTACATCAACAAAAATAATTTCACAGAATTAAATTATTTTGAATTTTCAACAAAATAATTCAAGATATTTATATACAAAATACAATGTATTTTTTCAAGTAAAAGAAAAAATAATATAAACATTATAAATTTTAAAAAAATCTAATAACCTTGACCAAATGCCCTTATAAAAAAATCGATTTGGATGAATTTAAACAGTATTATAATTTACATTAATTGGTGTACATCCATTATAACATTATCTTTTTTTAAATGAGGGTTGTATATTATTTTATTGATTTTAAAAATAAAGTAATTTTATATTTTAATATACATAAACATATCTTAATGAAGATAAATTTATTTAAAAATTGCTTTCTAATTAAGATCCAGAATTTCTTTCTTTTTAATTAAATTTTGATTTCACAAAATAAATTTCTAAAAAAAGTAATTTAAATTACTTACAAACTTATCATAATTTAACCAAGAAGGAAGTTTTGAATAATTTCTTTTTATTTTATTGAAATTTTTTCGATTTTTTTCAAGTTTAATCGCCTTAAATTTATATAACGAATTTGTGAATCTTGCGATCTTTAT